TGGAGATTAAACTCAGGACCTTCCACTTGCCAGGCAGGTGCAGCACCACTGAGCAACATCCCAGGCCCAACTCTCTAATTTTTTAACCATTTTATGATAACCACCATATTTTCATTTGTATGCTTTTTTTTCACAATTTTCCATAATTATATTTTATTCATTTCTTGCCTATCTTTGTTTTAAAACTTTGCATATATTTCTAGTGGAAGTCATATTTTCATGAACATCTTAATTATTCACTTAAACATTTTCATAAGATTGTGCTTAGCACTAAATTTCCTAAAATATTTTGGAATCTTGATTTTCTGATTCACTCTGAGTAGGGGGCTTTATTTTGGTCTCTGTCTCCCACCCTGACAGATGATCTGTAGTTGCTTTTGCAAAATCTTCTAAATCCAAATACAGAACAAAATCTTATGTCTGTGCTTTGAAGTTAATGCTCCTTGGTGATTTGGGGAATCAAAGGTCCAATCACAAAAGCAGGAGGTGTTATCATTTTATGTTCCATGACTCTTAACTAACCTCTTCTTGTTTTTCGTTGTTTAGTTTTCTCTGTACTACATGCTAGGCAAATTTCTTAATCCCCTTTTCAGTTCCTTCATTTTCTCTTCAGTTGTGTCTAATCCATAGATAGCCCACTCATTGAGTTTCTAATTGTAATGACTATATATATATTTTTCATTATCAGAAGTTCTCTTTGGTTCTTTTTCAAGTTTTCCTGTTTTATCCCCTATAATGCTTCTGGCTTTTAATGAGTTAAACAAAGTTAATACGTAGTCTCTTCCAGAACGCTCTCTTATCCCAGGTCCTTGGTAGTGTTCATTCTGTTACCTGTACCTGCTGATTTTCCTCGTGGTAGATTGCTTTCTGTGGGTCACATTTTTTTATTATTATAAAGATTTTGTCTTTAGCAAGGGTAGTATTTCACATAGGACTTGAAAGTTTTTTGATTGAATAAGTTTCCGTAAGTTGCATTTGCTTTGGATGTGATGCCAGGGGTTTTAATTATACAAAATAACTTTTTGGAATGTGTTAAGATTCCAAAACCTAACAAAAATGATTAGAGAATAGCCTTTATATTTTCTTTATTAATATCTACTTGTATTATATTAAAAACAAAAAATTTTTTTTAAAAAGGATAAAAAATTCCAAAACCTATGATGAATTCTAGTACGAGGAAGATGGTGTGGATCTGGAACCTGGAATGCAAGGTGCAGGCATGGATTTTGCCTAGCAAATGTGTTCTCCCCTTTGCCACTGAAGATGACACATTTACAGGCTGCAGGGACTGGGATGCTGACACCTTCGAGGGGGCATTTTTCTCCCTAATACCTCTCTATGTAGTCAGGCTCCTCACTTGCAAAATAGGGGGCTGTGAAGTCTAAATGGGTTAATACAGTGCCTGGTACACAATAAGCAGTCAATAAATATTAGCTAACGTTTATGATTAGGTCTTCATTATCATTATCATTAAATATTTTTTCTATCAACTCCATGGAACAGAATAGAGTATGTTTAGAAAAACTGCACAATTTTAGTCGGGTACAACTTTAGAAACACAGTTAGTAAAGTTTGTCAGGCCAATCTGATGGCCCAACTATAAGCAACTATAGCAGTGGTACCACACACTTCAGGAATGTGACAGTGTCATTCCATCTACGCATCTGCTCAGTCAAGGTGCTACTCATCAGAGTGCGGCACATCAGCTCAGGACCTGGTGCCACAGTGGAAGCAGATGTGGAGAGGGTTGAAGAGAGTAATTGTGGGGAAACAATTCAGTTTCCTTAAAAATGGATAAAGTCATCAAATACACATGCATTTGCCTTTGTCATCTCAGGTAAGAAAATGGTAATTTCTCTCTCTCTCTCTCTCTCTCTTTTTTTTTGGTACTGGGGATCGAACTCAGGTCCTTGTGCTTGCAAAGCAGGCAGCAGAACCACTGAGCTAAATCCCCGGCCCAGGTTTTCTCTTTCTTGAATGGTACAGTCACCTTCAAACTCTGCCACAGAAAGAAAACACCTAGAGATTGATGTCTTCAAAAAGTTACAAACCTGGCTTTAGGTTTTAACACCTTAAGCCCATCTTCTTAAAGGAGGAAAGTCAGGACTTTAGATAGGAGAAAATATAGAGAAGTTCAGAAGAATACGATGCAAAATTCAAAGAGGCTAAGTATTAGAGATTGATAGGAATAAAATTTAAACAGTTAAATTCAGCAGAATACTAACTTAAACAGTTAAAATAACAGAGCATTAATTTAAATGTTTGGCAAATACCTGGTGAGAGTTGAGAAAAAAATTGTTTTTTCAGTTTTTCTAGAGCTGGGGTAGCAAAATATGGCTGATTGGTCAAATAGGACCCATTTTCTGTTATTGCAAATAAAGTTTTATTGGGACCCAGTCATACTCACTTGTTTGCATAATGTGTAAGGATGCTTTGGTGCTATGCTGCAGAGCTGAAGAGTTGAGACAGATGCTGTATGGCTTTCAAAGCCTAAAGTACTCAGAGAAAGTATTACAGAGAAAGCCAACTACATTATTATTGCTGAGGGCATCATTGTGACTTTTTTAGGAAACACTGGGGGAAAATCAGCAAAGAAATAAATATAAGCTTTAAACTTGGCAAAAAGTGGTATGAGGTGTGATCAAATATACAGTGAATGTTTAAATTTGAAAAATTATTACAGTAAAAGTCATATTGTCATAAATCCCCCTAGAATGCTACCCCTTGGTTCCAACACACTTATCCCATTGTTCTGGCCACTTTCTGGAGCAGTGCTGGAAGTCCTCTTTCATGAGTATCTATGAGATATGATTAAAACTATGATGAGTGCTGCCGCTGATGGAAAGGCAGGCTCCTAAAAAATGATGGGTGTGTCCCTGTCCACCTTATTCACTGGATCTGACATCTTGAGCCTTCTGGCTCTTTCCCAAAGTCAAAATGACCTCGAAAGGCCAATGTTTTGAATCAATTCAGGACCCCGAGACAGTCATGACAACACACCTAAAGAGAACTCTCAGAGCTGCTTCAGAAAATTGAAAGAGTGAAGGGAGAAATGTGTCAGAAGTGAGAGAGAATATTCTGAGGGGGATTCATAGCCCTGTATCTTTTATTGCAATAAAAAATTTAAACATTCACTGAGGTTCTCATTCACACTTTGTCTACTTTAGTGGGAAAATGTCCCAATCTTAACCAGCCTTCCAGAAACGAGAGACTTCACCGAGAATTTCAATTCTCCTTTTGGTGAGTATGACAATATTGTAGTGACCTTCAATCATATTTTCTTCCCTTTCCTTCCCAGTTGAGCAAGGAAACAACCTTAGATGCAGAAAGCAATAGCACTATGTTCATTTTGACTTAAAGGAGAGCAAGTGGAGTCCGAGCAGTGCCCTCTGTGGGCATCAGGGGCTGGGCTGTACCCTTATTGTGCCTTTGCCAGCTACCTCAGGGGACAAAGCATGCAACTCTCAACAACGTTGTGTCCTCCTATAAAAGAGGGAGCTGGGAGAGAGATCTCAACATTTCCTCTGAAATTAAAAAAAAAATTCTGTGAACATGTCAAGAGATTCTCAAAAATTGGAAAACTAAATTTTGCTGAGTTCTCTTGTAGTTTCCTAGTGCAAGCTCATACAGAACTGAAAAATGAAGTGTCCAATGTCAAGTATGTGACAAAATAGCATGAGCTTGAAATATACTGTACAAGGGATAATTTTCCCTATGTAAATTAAAGGAAGGAGGGAGAGAGATAGTGGTTTTGAAATTACCACTCAGTTCTGTGATTTGGCTGTTAATTTATAAAGCCATAGATTATGATTTTCTTAAAATTTGGAAAGCATGCTTTATTGCTAAGGCTCAAAAGATTTTTTTGTGTGTCTGTGCTGGGAACGGAACCCAGGATCACCTACATGCTAAGCAGGTACTCTACCACTGAGCTCCATCCCCAGCTCTGAAAAGATTTTGTGATCCAAAGATGTTGAGTTCCTAAATTTCACTATATGTGACAGTGTTCAAATCCATGAAACCTAGGGAACCCGCGGGAGGCATATGACAAGTGTTTGCTGCTGAGACTTGGTTCTCAGGGCATCCAGTTTACCTTAAAGCAATCTTCTTCCTCTTTGTACACTGGGCTCATGCTGGTTATGGCTGTGATGAACTCCCCTGCGGTGAGTGGTTTACGAGCTTGCTGCCGAATTCGCCCCTCTGTGAGCACATCTTTGACCACTTCCACTATATGTCCTTGGGTGAAACCATCGGTGACCTTGGCCAGGCAACTGATATTCAGGGCTTTTGTAAGGAGCCCTCCTTTGCGCTGAATGATCTGTTTCCACAAAACTGTGGGATCCAAGATGGCAAAAAGACACAGGCCAAGAGTTATCACAGAGCAAGCAATGTTAGCCTGGTGCCCTGCCCCAAATCACAGTTCATAAGGAAAGGAATACAAGAGGAGTCAACTCCCAACTTCTTTGTAGTTCAGATGAGCAGAAAGCTGAGTAACTAAAGCTTTCCTCAGGGGAATTTTCTACCCTGTGACGTACAAAATGGCAACCCTAAGGTCTTAAAAAAATGAACCCAATAGAGATTTAATGTTTAGAAAATTTCAAAATTGGAAATTCACATACAGTGTATATGGATGGCAACCCTGCTTATCAGAATTTTATATTATCAAAAGAATTTAGATAAGCAGGAGTATAACTGTTTTTAGTTATAATGTTCATTTCTTATATTATTTTAATAACGAGTTAGAATGCAGACTCCAATTCTCATTAACCACTGCCAGTCTCTGTGCACTACCTTATATTGGATTTCATAGAACAATTGGACCCTTATCTTCTCCCTCAACAACTGTTAGTGAATCTACAGTAAATGAGAGAGTTCAATCTGAACACAGGAATGTTGTGAAAATGAATTACAAAAATAATTCCTGATGCTAAATTTAGATATAAATGAACTCCTGTACAACATGTAAGATAAGATGACATCTGGAGAACTATGTCCAGCCTGTTTGGAGAGACTGGGGAAACCCATGGGATCTGCTGTGTCCAGGCAAGGACAGGCGAGGGGCATTCACGGGCCTATCCGTCCCAGCACCAGTGATCTGTCTCTGCATTCAGGTGATCTGGCCAGACAGTTCTAAAGCACTTCATTCTTTGAGGAATATTGATGCTGTTCTTCAAAAATGGCCATTACTACATGATCTGAGGATTGTCAGGTCTGGTCCAAGCTCAGTTCTGGGTCTGTTCAGCGATTCCACCATCCAGATCCATCGATCCAAAGATGGTTGTAGGATGTAAGGCTCCACCTACTCCCATAAAGGAACAAAATGGCTCATAATGTACCTACAAACCATGTCACAGAAGGCTGCTTTAGGGCCAGGATTATTCCAACAATTCACCTCCATTGTTCTCCTGGTGAGCTGTTTGCCCCTGTGGGTGAGCTGAGTGGTCGGCAAAGGGTGGATGTCACCACGGGGCTTGGCTGTCTCTCCAGGTTAGACATCAAGGGTTTGGAAACCTGCACTGAGATCGACCTCACATCGGCCCAATCCACCCTCTCAGCCCCTGGAACCACTCTGCTACTTCCTTGGTGAGCTTATTTGAGCTTAAGCCCTAGTCTTAGCTGTAGATCAGGAAAGCAGAAAGATTTGCTTCTCAGTGCTGCTGTGAGAAGTCATATGACAGTGCATATAAAGCACTCAGAAGAGTCCCATTCTAGCAGGTGTGTGTGTGTGTGTGTTACTTCCTGTGGCTGTATTACTGATATCACAATTATTATTATTAGTCATTGCATCGTGCACCAAAATTTCCTCTCATTAAAATAACTATAAAAGATAACACCAAATAAGCTACATAATATTTCAAAGCATGTTTGTGTAAAGACAGGTTATATAGCAGGTGAGGGTAATCCTTATCCAAATGTAACTGCTACGGAGTTAGAAATCAGAACATACAACCCATGGAGAAAATGAGAAGCAGTGGAGAAACTAGACAACACCACTGCTTGAGACTGGTGTCTGCTGTCCAGACCTGCAACTCCCACACATCGGCAGCCCTGGAAGCGGCAGTGAGAGTGTGGGTGAAGGCCCAGGCCAGGGGTGCAGGAGACAGTAGAAGGGATCTTGAGGCTAAGTGCTGTACCTTGTTTCCTCTCTTAGATACAAACGCTTCCTCATCTTTTCAGACTAATCCACACCCCTTTCCCTCCTTCCTCCCCCTTGCTCTCCCCTTCTTTTCTGTTTTTTGACACAGGGTCTCACTGTGTATCCCAGGCTGGCCTTGAACTCACTATGTAGCCTAGGTTGGCCTTGAGCTCCCAGCAATCCTCCTGCCTCAACCTCTGGAATGCTGGCATTATAGGTGTGCACTGTCACGCCTGGCTCTCTTCCCATTCTTCAGAGTGAAAAGAATCCGGTCTTGCTCTTCCCTTTATCTGCTTTTGCCATCCTCAGTCATTCCATCCTGGCTAGTGCTTGACATATGACAGAGTATTTTAAAGCTCATTTTATTCGGATTTCTGCAAGAGCAGAATAGGATTTGGGTGAGCTCTCAACTCTCTGAGCCTTGAGTTCCAGACAAATCCAAAGATACCACGGACTCCTCCCTCCAGATTGTGGGCTTCAGTTGGGCCCATGAGGAACTGGGCCATTACTGAGATGGACCCTGGGACAGGAGGGAGGTGTTGGGAGTGTGTGGGGAGGGGTCCACGTGGGCTTCTGGGGATCAGATGAGGCATCCAGCAACAGGGGTGGACTTTCTTTGCAGAGACAGCTGATTCATGGGGCAAGGGGGCAGGAGCTGAGTGATACTCGGTAAACCTAAGGACCGTGAGTCTCGACACTGGGGCTTCCCCAGGGCAGTCCCAAGGAGCTTCGCCAGCATGGTGAGTGTTGCCCAACCCTTCTGGAGCTGGGCTGCTGGTAGACAGACAGCCAAGCAGCAGCTGCTGAGGATCTGTGGCCCATGCTTGATGGGTGCTAAGAGACCACTTGTGATCCTAGCTGTGGCAGAGGCGGTCATTCTTGAAGACGGAAGCCCTGGACATGGGGCTCTGAAAGCCTTACAATTACTGCAGGAAATGCCAGGCAGTGTTTATGACATTGCCAAGAATGGCAGCCAGAAGGAATCGCCCACCAAGAAAGAAATATGTGAGAAGCACGTGGTACACTGGACATAGACTGAGCCGTGAGACAAGCTTTCTGCAGGTTCGTCGCCTGCCCATGGGGGAAGGGACACCTTCTCCTTGCTCTTCCTCGGTGACACTGTGAGGAGGTTCAGGTTGAAATCTGTGATGTGATCCAGGTTCTTAGAGATGCCTGTCACTTTGTCCAAAAACAAAATTGCCCATGTTGTGCATCAAGGGCTCCATTTCTAAAAGGCTGACAGTTTTGTCAAGCAATAGAAAACACTGGATCCAAAGTTGAGAACAAGACCGTGGCCCCTTAATGAATAACACTCTACCTTATTTCATTAAGATAGCTTGCAATATTTACAGTGAAAAGAGAGAAAAGGAAAAAGAAGAGAGAACAAGAGAAGAGCGTGGGGAGGGAAGCACTGCTACAGCCTGCAGCACAGCATCTGTGGCACCAACCTCAGTGGCTGTGGCCAAGGCTGTGGCTGCTCCCTGTCCCTGCCTTTTGTCCTGAGCTGGGTGGGGGCCACAGGACTCATTCTGGGCAATGTGATACAGGCCCAGAGAAGTGTTGCCCTCCCAGGTTAAGCCCTAAGTCCTGTGCGGCATCCTCCAAATGTGTCCCTTTTTCTCCTGATGCTGGAGTGCATCTCGTGTGGCCCTAAAAGATGGAGAAGCAAGTAGAGCGATGGAGAAACGTTGGGTCTCAAAGTGCTCCTGTGGTCTGTGTGTGACACTGAAGTGCAAAGCAAGGGTCAGAATTTATCAAGAGAAAAATAAACACAGATGACAACTAGAGTGGCTAATAAGCTAGCCATTTGTAATACATAGGGAAGACAAGGGCTGCTCTTTTAGAAAATACAATTGAGCAGAAATTGAAGAACAATCAGATTGGAACATGTGTCTTCTCTACTTGGGTGGTGCCACTGATCGGAGGATTAGTGTTATTAGCTGTGTCTAGATGTTTCCCCAAAGCCTCATGCAGTCTTAGGTGGGGCTTAGGTGGCTGAATCTACAGTGTGTGACACTGGGATCAAGAAGCAATGCTAGGATTAAGGGTATGAGTGCTACCTGCCTTAAGGGTGGATAGCCTGGATAAAATATAAGGGACAGAAAGAAGGTTGTTGCTTGTTGCTTGTTGCTTGTAGCTTGCTACATTGCTCCTTTGCTGCCTGCTGCCCACCATGAACTGTTTCTCCTCTGCAATGCCCCTCTGCCATGTCACCTGCTTTGGAGACAGTTGATTATGGACTGAAACCTCTACAAACTGTGAGCCAAAATAAACCTTTCCTCCTTTAACTTTGGGTGTTGGGTATTTTGTCTCAGCAATGAGAAATTAACTAAGACAATTAGTAAAACCAAGCCTGACCTAATTGTTTGTATTGCGGCCACCAGTGGTAACCACTACTGCCACATCACCACAGTCACATCCCGATGCCACTGCTGCCACCTGACTACCATAATCTCTCTGGTCACCACGTGACCACCACAACCTCTAGTGCCCTGGCTCCCAAGGACACCCAAGCTCACCCTCCTGGCCTTGTACACCTGCAGGCAGACCCAGCTGATCCCTGGGGCTTAGGATACTTGCCGTATCTGGAAGCGTAGTCTGGTCTGGGAACCAAAATAATTTTTTCATAAACTTTGCAAAACGACTGAAGTTCGGCATCAAAAGGACGCTGCGTTGTCCCTATGATCAGAATCCTGTCATCTGGCTGCAAGAGTTTCAGGATTTTGGGAAGCTGTTTTTTCAGCCGTTTCGGTTCATTCTGGGAGAAAGAGGAGGGGGCAAATATTAGGCCACATAAGAACAAAGAATGGATGGAGAACTCAAGAAAGTGGATGCTCAGAAACAGAAGGGGTGGCAGCACATATTTGTGAAGTGATTTCATACCTCTGGTAAACACAGTTCCTTCAAGTGTGTCTCAGAGCACTTCCTAGTCTGGGTGATTTTTAATTGTTGGCCTTTCCTTTCCTGAATCTCTGGAATTCAGATGTGGGTCAGGGGAAGGAAGGAAGCGCCTGACTCACCAGAGGGGCGCCTGACCCTCAGATGGGAAATGGCGGCTGATCTCCAGGTGAAGGAGGCTCATGTTTCCCCCGAGCTGTCTGGTAGAAGAGCTCAGATATCCTCTGCTGATGGCAGAGGACCTGGGTCCTGGATCTCACTTCAGACAAACACTGGGTCACGTAAGGTTCTGAAGCCTGGCAGTTCAGAAGTACTTTGAGCCTGTAGGACTTCAGCACCATCTTGGCACTGTCAAGGGAGGGGAGCCAGCTCCGATGGGCCCTCTCTTCTGTGTCCCAGGGAGGGCAAGGGCAGCTTCCGGAACCAGGAGTCGATCAGGGTGTGTTGCCATGGGCAACACTGTGGGTGCAAATTAAGCAGCCCTTGTGCAGACAGGAGAAGAGGAAGTGGGCAGGCAGGAGAATACGGGTGGGCAGCTCTGGCCCTTTTCACTCCCATTTGGCTGATGGCTGAGGATGCTCTGCATCTTTCTCTGAGCTCATATGTTTTGTTTGGAAAAAGGCACATTTAGATCCTTGGGCCACTTAAAAAATTGGGTGGTTATATGTCCTTATTATAGAGTTGTAGGTGTTGCTCAAGCGCTAGATACAAGTCTTTTCATCAGTGTATGTAAATATTTTCTCCCATTCTGTAGGTTGTCTTTTCACTTTCTTTTGTTAATCTTCTGGAGCTCATAAGCTTGGAAGAGCCTTTCGGACGGCCATCCCTGCCTGAGGCCATCCGTGGGCGCTGGGCCTCTGGTGTACAGATGGTGCTCAGTCAGTGGTTGTTGAATGACTGAGTCTCCCCAAGCTCTGCGTCTTCATCCTTTACTTCTGTTACCCTTTCTGAGGCAAACTCCTCCTATCCCCGAACTTTACCTCCCAATCTACCAGCAGCTTCTACACCACTCCACCCCTCTCTTCCTCAGAGTCCCTAGACGAAGAGCTGGCCTGTGAGCAGCCTTTGGAAAAGGCTTGGGGCCATTTTCTGAAGAGGGCCAGGCTGAAATGCAAGCCTAAAGTTATTCCCCAGGTCACTCTGCAGGGCCTTGGCCTTCGGACACCTCTATCTCTCACACGCTGCTTAAGCTGCCAGTTTCTGAACCCAGGGGCTGGTATTTAGCTGCTCTGTGACTGGGGGCGGTGGGTTGAACTCACTTGGGTCTCAGTCTCCTCATCTGGAAAATGGAGCTCAGTGCTTTCCTTTAGATAGTTTCACACAGTGCTCTTTCAGCGGGATTACAACAGTCCTTCCGCTTTTCTGCAAAGAGCTTCTCCGTGTGTTCATGTTTAAATGTAGATGGAGCTGTGACCCCATGCGGATCCATCAGTGGACACAAATCCAGGGATCTTAAAATGTTTATGGAAATTCAGAGGACCTAGCAAAAACCATCTTCAAAAGAAAAAGTTGGCGGGAAGGCTCCCACACAGATGCTTGTCCTTGTGGAATTGACATTTCAGCAGGGAGGCAAAAAATAAGTCTATAGGCTGACAGTTGGTGATGTGTTAGGGAACAAGTGCTGTGAAGGAGAATACAGCAGGGTAAAGCAGAAGGTGGTGGGAAGGAGGGGCCTGGTGGGCCAGGCGGAGAGCGGCAGGGACACACTTGGCTAAGATGCCACCTGCTCAGAGACTGGACGAGGGAGGAGACAGCCACGCAGACTGGGGAGAGACCTCCAGGCAGAGGAGACAGGAAGAGCAAAGACCGGAAGTAGAGATGTGCTGGCCAGTTCCAGGAACACTAGAGAGATCAGAGGCCAGAGAGGCAGGGAGGGGATGAACGGGGCTGGGGAAGGGGTAGAGGCAGCGGCCAGCGACAGAAGTGTCTCTTATTTTATTAAGACAGGAATCAAGGTCTCTTCCTTTAGCTTCTGAGCACTGGCTGATTTCAGAGTCTACTCCAGTTCCTGCACTGGCTCCGCCTCCCTCTCTGCAGCTGAGACTCAGTTTGAGTCTGGCCTTTCAGTACCAGCCCTCTACCTTCTCTTTCTTTTCTTTTCTTTTTTCTTTTTTGGTACCAGGGATTGAACTCGGGTCCTTGTGCTTGCGCAGCAGGCGTTGAAACCACTGAGCTAAATCCCGGGCCCCTACTTTCTATTTCTTGATAATCTCCTTTCTGGTGAAACATTTTTCATTTTGATGAAGTTCAATTTAAAATCTTTTGTTGCTTGTGCTTTTGGTGTCACATCTGAGAAGCCATTGCCTAACCCAAGGTCACACAGATTCATGGCTACATTTTCTTCTAAGAGTTTTTAAATTTTAGCTCTTACTTGCAGGTCTTGATTTACTATGGGTTGATGTTTGCATGTGACACGAGGTACGGCTCCAACGTCACTCTTTTGTTGGTGGCTCTCCAGCTGTCCCAGCACCATTTGTTGAAAAGATTATTTCTGCACTGAGCTGTCCTAGCACTTCAGCCAGAAGTTAACTGCCCTTCAATGTAAGGGCTTGTTTCTGGACCTCAGTTCTATTCCATTGATTTGTTTCTCTCCGTAGGCCAGAACCATGCTGTCTTGATTGCTACAATGTCCTACTAAGATGGGAAATGACTTTCCCAACTTTTTTTTAAAGATTGTTTTGGTTGGGTCCCTTGAATTTCCATATGCATTTTAAGGTCAGCATATTAATTTCTGCACATAAGCCAGTTGGAGCTTTTATGAGAACTGCATCAAATCTGTGGATCAATTTGGGGAAGATCATCTTCTTAGCAACATTAAGTCATGTGCAACCCGTGAACATGAAATGTCTTCCCATGTATTTAGGTCTTCTCTAAGACTTCTCCACATTGCTTTTGTAGTTTTCAGAGAAGTCTTACATTTCTCTTGTGTCAAATAGCTTTATGAGAACAATTTCTATGGTGCAGTGAGGGCAGCCAGCTGTCGGCGGTGGTTTGAGATGGTGATGGGTAGGTAACAGACTGGTCTTTTAAGAAACTTGGCGGGGTTGAACTGGGAGGTGTAGGGTGCACATTGAGCTGCCCAAAGACTGTTGGAAGGACTGACCTGAGGTCCCAGAGAGGCAGGACTGACACTCCATGGGGCAGCACACACCTAAGGGGTCTGAGCCTGTCCCCCGAAGCCCCACTGCATGGTGACAGTGTGGTCTCTACCCTTTCTGAGGCAGGAGTTGATACTGCTCCATGCATGTCCTGAATGCATTTCAAGGATGCTTGAAATTAATTAGTCTATTTGGATGACAAATGTTGATCCTGGGCAGTGTCCAGAGTGACATCCTTGCTATTGGTGAGGTGCAGCCCCACGAGTACGGAATGGAAACAGGAGGTGTGTCCACTGTGACAGCAGCTCTCTGCCACTTGGGCCACTATTCCAGTTCAGAGCTGTCCCTACTGCAGCTCTTCCATCACACCAGGACGTCCTCAGGGTCACTTGGCAACTGGGTCTGCCAGCCCCTCACAACTGTATCACTGTGGGCAGTTTCAAATTCGTGCCCAGCACCCACACAGCAATTTCAACTTGCTTTCCTGCAGTTAATGCCACAAAACAACCGCTGCAGCCAGCACCAACAAAGCCCGAGACTTTGAGGAGGCACCACTGTGATGTCGGGGAAGGCTCCTGCCAGACAGCTAAGGTCAGACAGGTAATGGTGCAGAAAATGCAGGTGCAGGCTGCTCTGCCCTGCTCTTTACTGCCTTCCTCTCAGACACAACAGCTGACTGGCTACATACTAGCAGCTCAGCCAGGAGCAGAGCTTCTCTTAGGGGCCAGGAAGGGAGGCAGGGCATGCCCGGGGCCAGCCAGGGGCAGACCTGGGCCAGCTTCTCTAGGCCTGATGGGAGGAGAGAGGAAGTAGGAGGTGGGCAGGAGGACAGAGGTTCCAGAGCAGTGAAACTCTGGCTGGAAGCCCTCCTGAAAGGCCACTCTCAAGAGAGGCTCTGAGGGCACCCGGGGTCGAAGGAGTGAACCAGGAGGGCTGAGCCTGTGGGCAAGGTGGGAAACCAAGTTGCATTCAGGATCCTCCAGCCTGGCTCTGGCTTCACAGTTCTGAGTCCCCAGCATGCCCCCTACTGGCTACGCACCCTGGGGGGTGGGGGGGGCTATGCCTTCTTTTATAACTGGAGCAGGGCCTGGCTCCCAGGGTGCCCTGCAGTGTGCGCACTGCCTCTGCTCCCTGCTGCAGCTGTCCCAGGTGTCAGGGCCTCCTGTCCCCACAGGGAGGGCTCCTGCTCAGGAGCCACCATGGACAGTGGGCCTCCTCCATCGCCTCGCTGATTATGACTGGACGAGCACCCCTTGTGTCACCTGGAAGGGGCTCAATTCAGGGGCCCTGGAGCTAGAGTCCTGCACTGTGACTGAGATTCCTCTCTCAAGGGATGCTTCTGGGATCCTGGAAATCCAGGCGGTCTGGGTATTGCGGCCGTGACTGGTGGGCCATCCCAGCTTCCTGGTTTCTTTGCAGATGGACTCGCTTCTCGGGGCCTCGGTGTTTGGGGGGACCATGGGGACTTTTGGGACAGCACCAGGGGTGGGTGGGAGGAAGGACACTATGTTCTGTGTAGCAAGCCATGCAGCTGAGGCATTGGCAACACTGTCCCACAGGGTCCTCTCGCTGCCTCTGACTCGCTGCTGCTCTTGGGTGCCCCTGTTGGCTGAGGAGCTTGGGTCAGACTCAGGAGACCCTGAGGGCCAGGAGGAGGACAGAGCCCGGGGCCCCCACTCTGGAGTTGCAGGAAGGCAGTGGGAACTGGTTCTGCACCCTGGGCCGGTCCAATGATGCCATCCCGCAGTATGGCTGATAGAACCCCCTGCCCTCTCCTGCAGGGCAGTGCTGGCTGGGCTGCTGGGCAGGACCTGTGCAGCTCTTGCAGCTGTCCCAGTTGGGATGGCTCAGGCCTTTGGGCCTTGGGGATGTTTGGGCTTGGGAAGCTTTCATCTGGCAAGGCACAGTGTCTTGGCTGTGCCTAGCACGATTCCCATTGCCAGTCACATGCAGTGGACTCCAGGACAGCCATGGATCTCCTGATGCGGAAGTAACCAGAGAAAATGTTCGATTTGCCTCTAGTGAGAACTGGGTCCCCGGAAGGCCTCGATGTCCCCCAGGAATAAGCCAGAGAGGGTCTGCATTTGTGGGGACGAGAGAGATCAGCACGAGGGACCTGGGGATGTGGGCCTGTCTTCGCCACCCTGGTCCCCTCCCTCCTGCACCCCTGCCTGCCAGCGAGCCAAACGTGCAAAAGCTTCACGTGTTGACCGCTTGGTTGTGCCCAGCCCTGATGGCTCTCTGGACTTGGGATCTGGGTCAAGGTGATTCTTGCCCGTCAGTTTTTCGACTTTTTCCCTTCTTCCTCAATGCAGCGGCTTGTCCAGCAGAGGGAGCTAACTGCTAGAGTCCCAGATTAAATAACAAATGAGTCCTCCTAAGAGTTTCTGAAATGACAGAGCAATCAACACTCATTTGGAGAAGAAAAGATTGAGCTTTCATTCTCTATCCAAATCATCTCTACCTGCTAAAAATGATGTATAATACATAAGGATCAAAAGTGATTAAAATCCTTACGAACTTAATCAGAAATTCACAGTTAACCACTATTTGCTTTGGTCCAAATTGATGTGGAATAACAATCATGTGTATCTGCAATTTTTTTTAACTTGTGAGAAATTTGCTGGTGATTTGCGGGGGAAGTGCGGGGGATGGGGCCATTGAAATGCGGGAAGAGAAGGAAGGGACCTAAAGCTGCACTTAGCAGTTCTGTTGATGCTCTTTGTTCATAAATTTCAGGCCTTTTGCTCTTTATTATTATGAACAATAGGGTCTCCTAATAATAACTCCTATGTGTGTCATTGGCCGTAACTGAGCAGAGTTCTTTAAATGATTTCTTCCCTCTGAATCATGTTTGGGCTGAAAAAAAAAATCTCCCTCCTCTTTTCTTCCCGTTTTCTTTCATTTTTTTCTAAATTATGCCTTCTAAGATCAGACCCCTGGATCCTTTCAAATGCAGACAAGTACTTAGGAGGGAGGGAGAGGGAGAGAGAGAGAGAGAGAGGGAGAGAGAGAGAGAGAGAGAGAGAGAGGGAGACCACTGCAGGAGATTTGAAAGCCCACGTCTCCTTTTTGCATTGAAAAGATCAGATTTTCTCAAAAAAGTGGGGGTGGTGCCTCGTACGGGCCCCCTCAGAGGAAGGAGAGGTCAAGGAAAGAGGCGATGGAGAAGCCCTCACCAGCTTTTCAGCGTTGGGCACTTTTTTGTAGAAGGTTTTCTCTGTGTCTCCAATCCACACCACGGAGGGCTGAAGCTGTCGAGCCACCTGCAGAGGAGAAGGTGCAGCCTAGGTGATGAACGTCTGAGCCCCGTGAACAGCAGGGGTACCTGGGACGCGGCGGACGGCAGGGCTTCGAGGGTGCCCAGGCCACGTGCCTGCCCCAGGTCCCCTTGGCACACCCGCGTTCCTTCCTCTGTGGTCTCCCCTCCATCCCTTGGCCCTGTCTTGACGCACACACATTCTGCTCTCAGACTGTGAGCCTTCTTGGCTTGAAATAAACCAATCATTTTCTGCCGAAAATGAACGGGAACTGGGCCATGAGTTTTAATCACAGCCTACTTGCTGTTCCCAGGTTTATTCAAGTTTGCTGCCAGGAGAAAGCCTGTTTCAGCACAAGGGCCCCTGCCATGCTATTTGTTCCACTGTGCTTTTGTGGCCAAGGCTCCCCAGGGAAGACAGCTCTGAGCCCCTCCGGGGCAAGCAGGGCTTTGCGACAGAGTCGGGCAGGGCCTTAGTGTGGCCCGTGAATAATTGCCACCCACCTAACAATCTCTTCAAAGCACCTCCGTGACAGCAAAGTTCAGGTATTTTTGCAACAATTTGTGCTTTGTGAAAAATTGTGACAGATAAAAGCTGTTTCGGCCACAGCAAATACAGTGTTGTGTATTCCTCTTTATGCATTTCTTAAAACATCATTAAGGCAGCAGGTACGATTTTACACCAAGATAGTCATTCAGTGAGTGATGAGAAAATCGCTAGAGATGCCGGGTTGCGTCTTTTTCTCCAGCATTATGTACCAAGTGGCAGTCGGGGCTGGAAAACAGACTGTGCATCTTCAAGTTCCGAGTGGATCTTGCCCGAACTCGATCCTTGGGCAGCCTAACACCCGGGCCACTGCAGTCCCGGTCCCCAGCGGGCTGGGACCCTCAGAGAGAAGATAGCACCAGCCAGACATCACTGGGGAGCTGTGAAGTTTTTAAATCCAGAGCCACAGAGTCTAAGAATTCAGAACCCTAAATTTTAGTCTCCAGCACAGTTGGGCGATACCTACAGGGAGCTCCAGCAGTGAGTGACAGGGCAGGGATGCCAGGCATCAGGTGCCAGTGTGTGCATTAGAGCTGCCAGGGACTGGCACTGCGGGCATGCGATACCTCATCCACTCAGCACACACCAGATGTGACCCAGAGGCCTCACGCACGGTCCCCTCTACTCTTTTCCAAGAACACAGACAGCGGCAGCCTCGGGGCCTCTGCCCCAATGGAACCCAGGCCCTCAAGGTGTGAATCAGTGGGGCTCAGACCCAAGCCCCTCGCTGCTGATCCCACTCCCTGCTCCTTCCTTTCAAGGGATAGCGCTTCTCCTGCTTAGACCAAGCCCCAGCGTGTCCACCCCTCTGCCTGCTGAATTAGGGGTGGCCTGCAATGTGGCCTGGCCACGGCGAGTTTATTTTTGGCACCAGAGTCTGATAGCTATTGATTCTTTCCTGGTTTGAGAAAAAGACCACCACAAGTTCCATCAGGGAGCTAAGGGAGCAAACCATTTGTGCACGCCTGTGTGTGGGGTCTCTGCTCTCCAACTCCAGGCCAGGGCTGTGGCCAGCACTACCCGGCGCTGTCCCCAGGGAGCTGTGTGCACAGTTTCCCAGGGGAAAGTGATGCCGCCAAGCAGCAAACTCACCATCTCAAACCAGCCAGCTGCAGGGGCTTTCACAGAATAAGATGGAAAAGGCTGCAGGACGGAGGAGCTGCTCCCGCCTTCGCTCTCCCTCCTCTACGAGCCCTTATTTAATAACATCAGCTCTCTGAGATGTCAAAGCAACTTGTTAAGTGAATTTCTAGCTTAAACACACTACGATTCTCCAAGGAAGGCTGTGAGGGAAATGCAGATCGAGGGGAGCCTCTGGGTGGGAGATCTGAGTTCCGGTCCTGACGCAGGCCCGAGGTGCACTGGAGGGAACACGGGTCTGCCCAGCACGCCGAGCCCACCTCCAGGAACCATGCGTGGGCACTGGGCTGTCCATCAGTGCCCAGAGGAAGGAAGAGGCACAGGACAGGGGTCCTGCCTGAGCACAGCAGCGTCGCCCCCTATAGGGAAGCCTTGCCATGGATGTCCCAGTCAGAGGTGGCAGCTCCAGGGAGTGAGTGTGAGCCAGACGAGCACAAGGCTCTGTCCTCTGCCCTGCACTCCAGGGGCTGTCACTGGGACCAGCCCTGCACCCCGGAGCAAGGGGGCTGCTGCCCAGCACCAGCAGTGCTCAGCTCCCTCCCTGGTGCGGCAGGGTGGCCAAGGCCAGAATCTACAGCCTCAGTACTCGGGTCTTCCAGGGCTCACTCGGACCCACGGCTTGGCCTCCATGGTCCTGGCTCCCTACCCCATCTCCTGCTGCCTCCAGGGCTCATCTCTGGCCCTCCAGGGGCTTCCATTGGCTTCTTGCGATAATGATGCCAAACTCACGCCAGAAGCTCAGGCCCCACCCCCCCCAGTGTCACGTCCCAATGTGGTGCCTGCCGTCTAGAAGCTTCTGGATTCCACACGGGCCAAACTTGACCTCTCCTCTCTCCAACTGGAAGTCCTGCCTCCTGTTGGTTCCCCTCGTCTGGCATCCAAGTGTTAGACGTGGTGTCCACCTTGGGCCCCCAACAATCCCAAAGGCCATCATCGTGTCTCCTGGCTCCTCTCAACCCCATCAGCTCTTCCACTACCTCTCAGCCCCCATCTTCCTTCCAGTAAGGGGCCTGTGGCAGTCAGAGGGACCTTCCCAAAGTGGGCTCCAAGGATCCCCTGCTCGCTAAGAGCTACTTTGGCTTAAAGTCAAAAGCCTCTCTACTTCCAGTCCTAAAAGTAAATAAGACAATGACATGCTATATGCAAAAGGTTTAAGCTTCTTAGGAGAAAGACAATTTAGAATAACACAGGCAAACATCTTAATTCTTTTCAGTCCCTCTTAAGTATCTTACTTTACACGGAGACCACTGGAAAAGCCATTCTCACAGCAACAATGGCTGTGTCTTAGGCCGTGTTGTATCCTTGCCAAAGCAGGGGCCATTCCTCTCCTGTCCAGTTAGCAAGAGTGGGAAATCCTCTGTGGCCTCTGGTCTCTCAGTGGGCTTTTCTTAATGGGAACTGCAGACATGAGCGCTGGTGTGTTAGTGTTGCCCTTCTTGTCCTGCTGTGAACTAAGCAAAATGCACACGGACTTGAAACACAAGAGGTTTGTGAGCTTGGGGCTGTGCGGAGACCGGCAGGCCCACTTCTGGCTTCTGAGCCGTGGTTGTGTGGACACTCAGCTGTACCATTCCGTCGGACGTGGAAGTTAACTCAGTCCCTTTAACTTGCCTGCTCCTGCAGGGCCAACAGGGGCTTCCACACTTTCTGCATCTCTTAGCACCCACCTGCTAAGGGATCCCTTTCCCAGGCCATTCACCTGCACTGGGGACACAGGCTGTGTACAGGGCCTTGCTTTGGAAGGGTGTAACTGCTTTGGAAAGAAACAGAAACATTTCCCAAGAGAGGCCTCAACAGTGACAGCCAAGTGGTTTCACATGCAGGACAACACCTCTTGTCTCCCTGGCCATGGGCCCCCTTGTACGGGTGAGGGCACTGAGGCAGGGTGACACGAGGGCTGGATGTGGGGCCTAAGTGACACCAGTGTCTGCCCGACCTGAGCTGTTATGTAGCGGGGCACTGTGGCGCTGCCTCAGGACACAGATGCCTGCTCCAAAGCATCCTGACCTTGTCCCATGTCATCCTCGATCATCTTTTCCCAACAGGACGGTCACAAAAATTGTAACCATCTTGTCCTCCAGAGCATTAATCTCCGATTGTCCTGCCCTTCTGCTGGGGGCACTGAGTGGCCAGAGGATCCTGGTGACCGCACTTGGTCCTGGGAGGAGAAGAAAGGTGTGTGAAACTGCTTCCAGGAGGAAGGACCCAGGAGCTGAGCTACTTTCCTTGGAGGATGGACTCTCAGGGTGAGCTGGCCACTACTAAGAGACTCTCACGGGGAGGGAAGAGGGCCTTGGACACTTAGAATGCGGAGTGAAGGCTGTTCTTCCACTCTTCCTGCAGAAAACAAGGACAGAGGAGCGTGGAGGTGCCAGGGATGAGGGCCCGAAAAAGCAGTAACACAGGGCCTGAACTCAAGGAGCTCAGGGGTGGGCAGGAAGGGGCCCAAGGGACGAGTACAGCAGAGAATGCCAGTGGCGGAGAGGGAGGCATGGGGAGGGGGTGACCAGGACAGAGACTGGAGGGAGGTGTTGTGGCTTGGGTCTAGATATCCCCCCACAGCCTCACAAGGTCATAGGTGTGCGATGCTGGGATCAAGGGTGTGTGATTTCTAGATTAGTCCACTGATTGGTTTGGCACAGTTCTGGGTAGGATTAAGGGTGCCCACCCTGGGTGTGAGTGCTACCAGCCCTAAGGGTGTACAGCCTGGATAAGATCTAAGGGATGGAAAGAGGGCTGCTGGGGTCACTGCTTGCTGCTTTGCTGCCTTGTCCTCCTCCTCCTTACTCCTCTGCCACCGTGCCTTGGAGCCAGCTATGGATTGAAACCTCTGCAAGCCATGAGACACAATGAACCTTTCCTCCTTTAACTTTGGGGGTCGGATATTTTGTCTCAGCAATAAGAAAAGTAACTAAGACAGGAGGATACATCAAGCCGACCTCCAGGGTCTCCAGAAAGTCCTGGCTGGAGTGGGGCGTGTCACATGCTGGAGACAGGAGGGAGTGGGGTACCTGGCTCATGGGGCGCATCTGGAAAGGGCCAGAGAGGCTACAGCTATGCTGTAGTATCCCAGAATCGGGAAGAATCTGGGAAGACTTTAATCAGAAATTTTGATCCTCTCTGTGGTACAAAAACCTGTCCAGTGACCGTGAAAGGCCTGCTATGGATGCAGGGGCAGGGGGCAGCCAGAAGCTTCTGACGGGGACACAAGAGCCTGAGCAGGGGGTGCTGGGAGGGCAGGGAGTGGAGTGAGGGCAGAATTGGCCAGGCTTGGCAGGAACTGGTGTGGCTGGGGAGGGGGATGGTAGCTCAAAGAGGGA